GGCCCCCGGGCAGCGGGAGGCTGCGGGCTGGCAGCGAAATCATGCCGGAGCCGCGGTGCCCGCGCCGGGGCTGCGCTCGCAGCGGGGACGAGGCTCACCTTCCCCTCCCCCCGAGGAGCGCACTTCAAAATGGTTTTGCAGACGCTGGCCAAGCTGCACTTGGTGCATTGATTCCAAGTACAGAGCCTGGTTTGGTTTCCGTATATTCTTTGGCTTTTAATAGCTAGCTGAGGAAAAAAAGAAAGCATTATTGTTTTCCTTCTTTCCTTCTCTCATTGCCTATTCTAAATTTGACTCCAAAGTTTAAGCAGTTGAATTGGCTAATTCTGAATGCAGTCTATTGAGAGACCAGACACAGCAGTACATCCCTGTATAGCAATAGATACAATGTGCTGAATTGGCAGTCTAATTATAAATGTGGCATTTGGACCTCCTTTCAGACCCAGTGCCACCTTACCTTATGAGGGAACTTCAACTACAGCAACTGTTCAAAACAAAATGCCATTACAGGATCAGCTTCACCCAACACTGGAACCAGCCAGGGGATTGTTTTACAAACAGCCTTTCTCACTTAACACAAGAATGTATTATAAGAAAAAGTTATGGATAGTGCAGAGTCTGAAGAAAACGCGTATGTAGTTTCTGCCAGGTGTCGAGCTACTTCAAACTGCAGCATACTCCAAATGACCTCATTATTTTCTTTTAAATGTATTCACTATAAATAGATTATTTTTTATTTTTACTAGAATGAACTGCTAGGTACGCTTGCTGTTTATATTCCGAGCACAGTGAGCATATAACATTGTGAGCACAGAAACACACAAAATATCCTGGCTTAAAACAAAAACCTGCAATAAAATCTTACCAAAGAACTCATGACGTGCAGAAAAAGTTTTTTAAAGAGTCCTTTCTATGGAAATATTTGTATATAATGGCAGACTACATGCACATATCTCACATTCATTCTTACTATTTACTTTATGGTATAATGGCTTAATTAAATGAGTGGGCACAAGCACGTCAATAAAACAAGTCAAGTCAAGTCGAAGTCTCAAAACAGGTTTCAAAATTACTCCATTACACGAATACAGAAAGGGAAATTCGTTAATTTTTGGACTCGAAACCCTGCTTAAGGACCGGATAACACTGTTCGCCTGTCCTTAAGATCAACAGTGAAGACAGAAATACTAAAAATGTTAAAATAAGGGTAAAAGAAAACATTATGAACAAAGTGCCGATCATGTGCCGAAGGCTATTTAAATTACTTTAATAAACATATACCTTATCTACCAGCAGCAGCCGAAGATATATTACTTTATCACTGAAAGTTTCATCGTCTACGTTTTTGGGAAACACCCCTAGGACAGAACTAATCTGTCGTCCCCAGGCTCCCAACGCGCTGACTCTCTCCTGTGAGACACCCCTTACACTCAGACACAACACTAATTGTGTTTTCACGTTGCCACTTTCACTCCTTCCCGTCCTCAGAAAAACCTGTGAAACGGTCTGTAGAAAGCAAAGACAGCAATCAAATCGATACGATCAGTGCCTCTGACTGACCTCCAGGCCCTGCTCTCCTAAAGCGCACAGCCCCTGCTGCAAAGCGGGTTAACTGCTCCATGCTGTTCAGCAGCACTGGGACACGGAGCGAGGAAGCTCTCTCGGCAGAGCAGCAATTCACTGGCAGCTAAATTATTAATGTACGCATGTAAGTACCTGATCATATAAGGCGTATATGTTCTTTTTCACGTCTCTACACACACATATATATGCTACCACGTCGCAAACACACGCGTACATGCATTACACGAGAATACTCAGCAGCCTTGCCCAGTGCCTGCTCCTCTCGGAGAGCGCAGGGAAGCTGGAGAGGCAGAATCATTAGCTCCCACTGATAATTCTTTTCAGGATCATGAATGGAACAATTGTCAAAAACTGCGGGAAAAAAACAAGCCCTAAGACTATTATAGACAGACACAGCTTGTGTGCGCGCATGTGACATTTTCAGGCAACACAGATTTGTTCATAAACTCTTCAGCATTATTCGAGATAAAACATTAAATTGCTTATACAGTTAAAGAGGCTCCTTATCCCTAATCAAAAAACAAACAGCTTCGAAGGTAGTGAAAGCTAGGAAAAGAACAACCTCTCCACCAGACACACCTTGCCTTACTCGGATTCTACAGCACTGTCTATAAGCAGCTGCTATATGTTGCTGCACTGCCACTACTTTATTTTAATAATAATAATAATAATAACAATAAGTGAAATACTTCCTGAAAAACTTACTTTGCATTTAGTTTAGGCACTATTCTTTTTTTCAGCTCGCAAAGGAAGCCGTTTTGTCCAGGTTAGGTATTGTCTACTTATGGATCAGCCTCTGGCTAAGGGTTTATTTTAATTTATGGCTTATGCATTCTTTTAAGGTCGATTTGCATGACCTCCGGCAAAGAGCTAAGGCAGCAAGAAATCCCAAGTCGAATGTTGCCACAAAGCGGCACAGATCTCCCCTCCTCATGGTGTAAACAGAGCTCTCTGATGATGGAGTGCTTTCTTCCCCCCTCCTTCTGTATCACAAATTAGGGTGTGATACCAATTTTAAAGTTTTCAGTATAACTTTATCCAAACCCTCTGCTTGGAGAGATAAGGCGCCACCACAGGAACTACAAATACTCGGGACAGTGCCCCGTTGTGGCCAAAAACAACATTACCACCTACAGGTCCAATATCTTTGTATTATTGCATGCTCCGTGGATAGCTCTCATTTGTGGCGAACTTCAAAGCAGTTACCCACCTCAAACTTAACGGAGAATTTAAAAGCACTATTAAATTCCTTTCGCCTTTCTCCATTCCGTGTCTTTGGGGGTTAGCCGTGAAGAGAAACCCACGCAAACACTTCGGAGTAATGACAGCAGCTCTCTGCTCTCTAAGATTTATTTCGGATTTTATTTTTCCTCTCTCCCTCTCCTGTTAGTTTCTTACGTACAATATATTCCTAGCACCATGTGTTCGCCTGCCGTGGGTGATCTTAAAATACAACGCTGATCTGTCACTACATTTTAAAATAAACTCTACTCGGGGAGGATGAGAAAGTGTTGTGATTTCAAGGTACTGAGGTCCCTTAATGTCTCTCTGAAACCCCGGGATTCAAGCAGCCCCGGAAACTCACACGGGGACGAGACTATAACTACTTTTCCCTA